GGGGCGGCCGAGGGCCTTGGCAGAGGTGCTGCCTGCTCATGAGATGGGGCTCTGGCTCCCGCCCCTCGTCCCAACCCTGCGTGGATGGCCCAGCCCTGTCTCTTGAGGAAACATTCAGGACTGGTTGCCAGGCAGAGAGAAGTGGGGGTGGCGGGGTGGGGGCTGGCATGAAGGGCACGGGCCTCGGTGGGGTGTTTATATTCAGCCCAGGCAAGGAGCTACATGTCGAACGTGCTTAGGAGTACGTACTTGGGAGCCAGACTGGGTGAGAGTCAGCCCCAGTGATGCCAGGCAAGTCTCTTAACTTCTTGGAACTTTGGCTTTCCCAGCTGAAAAGGAGTTTCTAGGTGACGCTAATGCTGCTGGCCCCGCGACCTCAGTTAACCCCTCTCAGAGGACAGAGGACAAGGTCAGGGCTCGCTGCCTCTCCCGTGAGTCCCGGAAGGACTGGCTGGGGCTGCTCTGGGTTTGCCCACGGGAATCTGCTCTTGGTTGTTGACTGTGTGCACGTGTGGGCGCTGAGCAGAGCAGCTAACTCCCAGGCAGCCGGAATTTGTCTGCTCACATACACCTGTGAGGCGGGGGAGTGTGTCCCTCATTACGCAGAGGCGGGCTCGCACTCACTAGCACCGATGGCCGTGCTGTGCTGAGCGTGCGCTTGTGTCCTGCGCCTTGGGGAGGGTCTGCTCCCCGGTAGTCATGGGGCTCTTGGGACTCCTGCACTCCCCGCGTCAGCTCCAGGCACACCTGGCCCAGTCCTGGCCAGGCCAACGGGGCAGAAGCCTGTTTCCTCTCTGGAGAAAGCCACCAGCCTCTGTTTGGACGTCTGTCCTGGCTGAAGGGCCTCTGCCTTTGATCTCGTTTGGCGGCAGCAGCAGCATCCACAGCTCTGAGGCTTGTTTGTGTCTCCTGCTCTGCGGCCAGGGCTCAGAGGCAGAACGTGTGGAAGCAGGATGTCAGCAAAGGCAACCTCTCTCTTCGCTGGTCCACCTCCTGCTCCCACGTAGCTGAATTTGTTGAGCTTCAGGTGCCAGCACAGTGCAGGGCTGGCACACTCTCGAGCATGTCACCAGTCACAGAAGCCCATAATAGTACAAATCCCCCATCATCCTGCCACCGCCATTGCATATGTCACCGGGGTTCTATTTTGGAGCCATTAAACCTTAGAGCTATTATTCCCCCTTAAGCTATGTGTGCTTGCAGCTTTCCAGCTTCACGGAAGGTGAGGGTGGGGGGCCGCCCTGGACAAAGGGGTTACTTACTGATCAGCCTTCCTGCTTGGGGTGGACCTTCTGGGCCCATCGGTATACGACGCTCTTGAAGGCTAGTCTTTGTTAAAAGAGAGAAAAAGTCTGAATTCCTTTAGCTCCTGTGGGCACATGAAGACGCTGGTTTGCTCATGGAGGTTTGTGTGTGGGATGGCCCTTCCACCAGGAAGTTCCCTTAAGCTATGTGTCCTTGCAGCTTTCCAGCTGTGTACTGGTCGCTTCACGGAAGGTGAGGGTGGGGGGCCGCCCTGGACAAAGGGGTTACTTACTGATCAGCCTTCCTGCTTGGGGTGGACCTTCTGGGCCCATCGGTATACGACGCTCTTGAAGGCTAGTCTTTGTTAAAAGAGAGAAAAAGTCTGAATTCCTTTAGCTCCTGTGGGCACATGAAGACGCTGGTTTGCTCATGGAGGTTTGTGTGTGGGATGGCCCTTCCACCAGGAAGTGGAGGGGGAAGGGCTGGCCCTCGGTTCTGGCCGGGATTGGATGAGCTGATGGCGCACAGGGAGCCTCTAGGGCAGTGGTTCTCTACCTTGGCTGCACGTTAGAATCACCTGGGAATCTTTTTCCAGCCTTGCTGCTTGGGGTGGACCTGCTGAGCCCATCGCTATATGACGCTCTTGAAGGCTAGTCTTTGTTCAAAGAGAGAAAAAGTCTGAATTCCTTTAGCTCCTGTGGGCACATGAAGACGCCGATTTGCTCATGGAGGTTTGTGTGTGCGATGGCCCTTCCACCAGGAAGTGGGGGGTGGGGGGGAGGAAGGGCTGGCCGTCGGTTCTGCCGGGATTGGATGAGCTGCTGGCGCACAGGCTGGGAACCTCTAGGAAGTGCCCCTGATTCAGAGTTTAGCGGGCAGGCTGTTTGTCAGGGATCCACACCTGGGAAAAGGAGGTGGAAGCAGGAGTGGGCGGAGGAGGAAGCTGAGCTACAATGCGGTAAACAGAGCCTTGGACAGCCCGTGGGTCGCTCTGGACTAGAATTTTCCTTTAGAGTCACCTGGTGTTGGGCAAAGGTGGCCAGGCCTTACACTTCCACATGGATCACTGGGTGTGTGTGCTGCCCCGAGAAGGGGTGTGGCCTTGCACAGCGCAGCTCTCTGAGCTGAGACAATGGCTGAAGGAGGGGAGAGCAGAGCACTGTCTGCCTCGGGCTCTCCCAGCATCCTGTAGGGAGCCCGGGGAGCACAGGTCAGTGTGCACCGGGCCGAGCAGCAGCCTCCGGGACATGGGTGTGAGCTCGCCCGTGCTCCTCGCGATCTCTGTTCTTGTGGCTCTTGGGCTGGAGGCCTGAAGACTGGAGTTGAGGGAGGAGCTGTCTTTTTCAGGGGTTTGGAGGAGGAGAAGGTGGAGCAGCTGCAGGGGTGAGGGAAGGAGACGGAGAGAAGAGGGGCTCCGGGAAGGCGTGTGGACTGGGTGCTTCCGCAGCGGTGTCTGAGGGAGGGCACTGCGGGGCCTGGGCCACTTGGTCGTGACTTCAGTGAGTCACACAGCATCACAGGCACTAGGCTGGGAAGGTCTGTGGGTCTCTTAGCCACCACATGGTTCCCTTGGACTGGGCAGCATGAGGACCACGACAACACAGTGAGCCTGTTATTCAGCGAAATGGATCGGGTGGAAGGATCAGTCTTCATTTCTGCTTTTTAAAGGGTTAAAATGTCCTTTCCTTCATGAAATAATGGTGATGGTAGATGGGAATTGGTCTGGTTTTCCTTTTTCTCTAAAATTGCTTATTTACTGGAATAAAAAGTTGGTGACCCACAGGGTACCCGCCATTAGGTTTTTGATATGTGATTGGTCCATGAAATTCAAGGACCCAGGAGCCCCAATCTAGTTCCCCATTTGGAGAAGAGGAGGGGGAGCCCCTGAGGGTGAAATGCCTGCCTGCCCAGGAGGTGAGGCCGTGCCCCTGATCGCTTCCCTCTGTCCTCCGCGGCCTTTACTGGTCTGTCTGCCTCCTCTCTCTTGGGACCCATCAAAGCCACCTCCCTGGATAGGGAGCTCCTCAGGGCCTGGCCTGTGTCTTGTTTATGTCTGGTGCCTAGGAGAGCTGCCAGCACACCACGAGTGCCCTATAAATGTGGGTTGGTTGAAAAGGAATAACATTTAAAATATGACTCAGGGGTGAGGGACAGGGACTCTTATACATAGAATAGATATTATATATCCGTATAGCTACTTACATCTATATCTGACACAGATAGATATGGAAGCCTTAAACTAATGAGACCAGCACTAATGATGGGATTTCAGGCAACTCTGAGTAGGCAGGGCAGTAAAATGCCTGGCATATTGGCACATAGTAGATGCTCAATAAATGTCAGGTGAATAAGTGAATAACAAATGATAAATGAAGTTTAAAACATCACCCTGTCAGGGGTGAAGGGAGTAGATCCTTGTTATCACAGGATCTGAAGCTTAAACTGAAATCACATGTCTTCCTAGGAAGGGTGGGGCTTTTGGCGGACACGGGGTCTCTGTGGCATTCCAGAACTTATTCCTCATGGATAGCCCCCTTTGCCTCTAAGCTAGAGGGTTCCAGGCTGGCCCCTTTAGGAGATGAGCCCTGCGCCCCCTGTCCCCTGGCCTGAGCGTCCGTGGCCCAGGATCTGGGACTTCAGAGGGAGGAGAGAACTGACCTTAGCCCAGAGCAAGGGCTGCAGCTGACACCGTTGTTAAACACTGAGTGTGCTGGGCCGCGCCGCCCTGAAAGCCTGAAGTTTATCTGGCTGGAAAAGAGAGGCCGAGTGTTTACATCTGCTGTGGTCCTGGTGTACACAGAGCTCAGAAGCGCTTAACACAAAACGAGTTCATTTCTCAGCATCAGGCTCCAGCAAAACCTGCCCATTTATGGCAGGCGGAGGAGGAAGTAGGCGAGGCCGTCCTAGGAGGGGGCACCCCAACACCCGCCGGCTGGTTGGATAACTAGGGGTCATCCCAGAGACAGCCTGGGTGCAGACAGAGGGGCCTTGGTGTCAGCCCAGGGCATTGGCAAATGTGGCAGCAAGCTCTGTGGGCGGATGAGGTGAGGCCAGGGGGTTGGTGAAGGGTCTGCCAAGCCCTGGGCCCGGCGGCAGGTCTGTGGACTGGGCAGGTGCTCCGATGATCAGCCCAGAGTTAGGAGAAAAGATCACGTCTCTTCTTTCAGGAAGTTCCCTT